CAAATAAATGCAGTGAGCAAATAAAATATCCAATAGTAATAATAAAAACTAAGATGATAAAATAACAATTCATCAATTACTACAATCGAAAACAAACTCCAACATCAACGTCAAAGGAAACATCAATTAGAGGTTTAGTAATAAAACTGACAAAACTTACAAACTTATTTGTTAATTTCCAAAATGGCCGCACTCCGTCATCCCTCTTCCGACCTCCCGTTTCCTTTTCCGGTGAACATAACGTGTGCCCTCTGACCTCTGTCTTGTCCTCCTATTTTATTAGTTTGTCCTCTCTAAGGTAGTATGTGCATTTTAAACTTAACGACACGGATACGACACGATTTGGTTTTATTTTTTGAGTGGTTTACGTAATAAGGGAATGCAGTGTGAGTAGTGTGTGACTTTTGAGCTAGATTTTGTGTAGTATATATGTTGTTGGTTTTATTAGTAGGTGGTACCCATAAACGTATAAAAGACAAGACAATTTGATTGAGCAAGTGGCACAGTGCAGACGAATTAATTGTGAAACAAGTATCCGTACGTTACAGATTTTGAGTCCGGATATGCCCTACATATAAAATTAATTAATCAATCGAAACAGAAAAAAATCAAGCGTAAGGTAAATGGCTTTTCTAAACATTAAAATAAAATCTGCCTCGTTGGCCGACTGGTCGCAAGTGCGACTGCCGGGCAAGGGGTCCCGCCGTCTTGGGTTGGTTTCCGGGTCGGGCAAAGTATTACTGGGTTTTAAAAAATCTCAGTAGTAGCACGGAGTCTGGAAATGTGCCCGGTATATGGCAATAGGCTCACCCCCTATTACATGGGATTCATGACATAAATAGTGAAAAGTGGGTGTTACATTGTACAGTAGCATAATGTGCACCTCTGCCTACCCCTTCGGGGATAAAAGGCGTTATGTTATGTTATGTAAAATAAAATCTTAACCGATTTCCCTCACAATTTCAAGAACTAACAAGGAACTATATATTAAATCGTGAAGAATAAATAGATTTAATAAGTGAACATCTGACGCCCGACGCCCGGCGTTCACTGCACATTATAAACGGGCTGTGCCGGACAGGAGCCGATGTGTTTTCTCAAGCACCAGCCATTACTACCACTACGAAATGGAAAGAAAACACACATTTATAATGTTAGGTAACCATGTGGCTCTGTTTTCCTAATAAATTGACGTTATATCTATTATTTTTGATAGGATTGTGAGTCAAAAATGTCTGATACGATTTGGGCGTTCGCCACATAATTGATAATTTTTGTAACTGCAAAGTCAGCCCTATAAAACATTTGACTGATAGTGAGACTTATGACAGGGGAAACCTTGAAATGGCGGCTAGCGTTTTGAGGAGAATGACTAATGAGTGTTGGAATTTTTCCCTCAATAAATCCACACTGGCGACCACCCTCAGCACCTGTAAGGGCCACCGGGTTCTTTAAAAGAAACCTGTCTCGGAGCCTCCACGGTGCAACACCTTTTACGACACATCCCTAGACTTTTAACAAGACGTAGGAATTTTACAGAAAACAAATTCACCCGCTTAGTATTTACGTTTGGACTCCAGATACAGACAGACATACTGTATATTTAGCTTATATAGTCTATATGTAACTATAATGCTACCCGTTCCTAAACAAAATGCAGATCACATGCATAACATTACATACACTAGAATAAATTATAATGGATGAGACATAAAGTTTGTTTGCAAGCGTCTGATATATGTCGCATCCAGGCTGCTTTCGTTTCTAATATCGTGGGTAGGCATGTGACCTCGTTCCTTTATAAATGACACTAGATTGTCCGTAATGTGTTTTCGTGAGGGCACGCGCGCCCCACGGATTATATTTGATGCCGCATCTGTTTCCTCTATGATACGTCTATTAATATTGAAAGATAAGTAATTATTTATTAATAGGGATTAGTTGATTGAGGTCCGTAAGTGTTTCTTGTTTAATTAAACCGCCATGTCAATGTGTTGGTCTTTGTAGTGTGCTTTACTGTATCTACATTAAATAGGAGTAAACAAACGTGATATCCACTTTTGAAATAGAATTGTTACTGAATCTATTCTCAAATAACACAAAAAGCCGAGCCTTATTTAACGGAATGATTCCAAATACAAAATCCTAATAATAGTTTACCTTCTCGAAGAAATTCTGGTTGAGAATACTAAACGCAACAAGGTGCAACACTTCAACAAGTTACCTTCCGCTTCAGATCGCTACACAAAGCGTGGATTTAGTTTAACTTGAACCTAAGTTTCCCGAGCACACGACATGTAGCGGAATAGTCTCTTCACACGTACTCTAGTATATTGTTGTCCCGTAGTACACAGTAACAGTACCTGTACGAAAATCATCCCGAACAGACACAAAAATCTCTTGTCCAAAT